CCACAAGAAAGGTGATGTTGTAGACATCAAGGCAATGGGCACTGTTCGAGAAGCAATGCCCCACAGATGTCACCAGGGCAAAGCAGGAAGTGTCTGCAGTGTTGCTCAGCACGCAGCGGGCACTGTTATGAACAAACAAGTTAAGGGCAAGATTCTTGCCAAGAGAATTAATGTATGTCTTGAGCATACTGGGCACTCTCAGAGCCGAGACGGCTTCCTAAAATGTGTGAAAGAAAAAATTCAGAAAAAGAAGAAAGACCGAGAGAAAGGCGCTTGGGTTCCGCTGAAGCACCAGCCGGCTCCCCGCAGAGACGCACGCAGTGTGAGAACCAACGCCTGGGTTGCTGGAACCCAGGCCCGTGAGTTCACGACATGAGGAGTGTGAAAAAGCAAGAGACCACAGACCGTTAAAAGGAAAAAAGAATTCTTATGTACTGACTAGTTTTGACTTTTGGAATCATTAATATTTTATATACTCAAAATAAAACACAATCAGTCTGTGTGTGTCTTTCAATCTGCATATGTATGAATCTTGTTTTCATAAAAAATTTTTAAATAAATAAAACAAACTCAAATCAAATTAATAGGATGAGAGAAAAAATTAAACTAGAATGCACATTAACCTAATCAATTCAAAAGAATGACATAACCACACTGAAGCTGGGGAAAGACAGGGCCGCGGGGACTCTCGAACAGAGTGCTGTGACTGTGTGCTCTCAGTCCAAAGACAGAAATAACTACAAACTAAAATCAGTTCTACATAGAAATTAATGGAAACCCACAGAAATTTGGGTTTGTTTTTTTTTCAGGGATGGAAGTTACCAATTCAGAACCTACATTCTGTGATTTATAGGATCGAGCAATTAAGAAAATACAGGGTAGGCAAAAGTAGGTTTACAGTTGTTGGGAAGTAATACAATAATTAATCAATAGTAGTACAAGAATAAACTGTGTTTCGTGTACTCAAAGCTATAAACCTACTTGTGCCCACCCCTGTATATTGAATAGGGGTCAAGTTTCCCACTGTTGGAGAAGGGAGTTACAACTATGGAAAGAGAAAAGAATGGAAGAACAAATCCTGGGGTGATGAATTGGAATTAGAGATATCAGTTTAAGTTTACAGTTTTTAATACATATAGAAAGATAGCTAAATAAATATGTATGTGCATATTTATATCATATTTCTTCTCTCTGTCCACTTAGAGGTCCATCTATAAGACACCCCAGTAGCAATAAACATCCCTAGCACTTTTCTAACTTCCAAATTACCATGAAAATGATAGAAAAGATATTTTTTAAGTATGAAACCACAATTGTAACTACAAAGGAGCAAAACACAAGTGCTACCAGCAGATCAGACATTTGGAGAAATTCCTGCAAATGGGCTTGGGGTGCGGGGAGAAGCAAAGGAGAGAAGAGCTGTCTTCCAAGGCGCCCGAGAAGCTCCAGGCTCAGAGGCTGCGGGTCCTGGAAGTGGACGCGGATGAACATTATTTTGAAGGTTCTTTCTGTTCTGCATGTGTGGCCCCGAGAGAACAAGAGATGGGGAGGAGGGTGTGGCCAAGGGCCTGTGTGATTGCCAAGTGCCTACATTTTACATTGAAGTGGCAAAATATTAACTCCAAACTGTTAAAAGTTTAAAATGCATACTTGATGTCTAGAGCAGCCATTCTCAAACTTTTTGGTCTCAAGTCCTTCTTTATGTTCTTAAAATTATTGAGGGCTCCAAAGAGCTGTTGTTTATGTGTGTTATGCCTATCAATACTGACTATTTTAGAAACTTAAAGGGAGATATTTTAAAATATATGTTAATCATTTAAACATAGTAATAAGCTCATTATCTGTTAAAAACAAATGACATATTTCCATGAAAAATAACTACTTTCCAAAACAAAAAAAGAAACTGTTTAGTGAAAACAGAGGCCTTATTACACATTTTGCAAATCTTTTTACTGTCTGGCCTGATAGAAGACAACTGGATTCTCAACTTGTGCATTTGATCTATTGCAAAATATTGTTTTAGAAGTACAGGCAAAAAGACTGGCCTCCCACACTGCCACAGTTAGGAAAGCAAAGAGTAACTTACTACCACTAATTCATATGTGAAAAAAATTACTATTACCCAAAGGATAACATAATCACCAAAAAAAAGGTGACATGGGGTACGAGAAACAGCAGCAGCAGCATGAGAACCGGAAGAACTAGAGGAAGGACAGGAATACCCCGCTGCCCAGAAGCAGTAAAGCTCCAATGACAAGATTGTGTTTTCTTCTCCGCAAGTCCGAACTGCCACCTGGTTGTTCATTTAGACACACACACTCTGTTTACAGAGTTATAGAATTTTATAACTAACTACAATTAACAGAAATGTTCATTATAATTGCAGAAAAATATAAATTTTATAAACCTTGACAAAGTAGAAATAATAACCCAACTAACAAAACATTAGAAATGAAGTGGAAAAAATGGAAGAAAGAGTAAATATGCCAATATCCTGTCTTCATTTCAGGAAGCAATAAGTGAACTGGTGATAAATTGGTAATTTGGTCACAAAACTGAGGTATAAATATAATATTTAAAGTTATAACCACCACGAGGGAAAACAAAACCCAGAAATCATTGGCAGTGACTGTCTCTTGGGAATAGAGGTGACAAAGAAGGGGAAGAAAGCTGCTCATTTCCCGTCATTCTCTAGTGTTCAATGTTTTTTACTGCGTGCATGTAGTACTTCTATAATAAAAACAGTAACTTATTTTATTTAAAAATATTTAAATGATCACATTATTAGAAACATTTTAAAAATAGAATGCTGACCTAGAGTTAGTAATCTGTTCAAAACTCAACCTCATTTAAGCAGTGGATGAATTCACAAAAAGGTGTCTGTGATTTAAATCACATTTTAAATGTGTTACATAACCAAATAATGATAGAGAAGCCTTTTGTAAAATTAATGTCTGTCATTAAAATTTGTGTATCTTTTTTAAAATTAGAATTTGCTTTGGGTTTTCACTGTTCTTTACTGATAATTGCCTAAAATAAAAAGGGAGAGTTACTCAAAATGAGTCATGGCTTTCTAAGTTAAATTCTATCAACCCTGGGATTCACGTGAGAGCAAATTATCATCTGGATCAGACATACCTATTTCTGGCGTAGTGAGGGTTGCTAGGCCACCACTGCCTCAAGTTCATTAGTTAGCACCTGAACTCTAACTGCTGAGAGAAAGTGAGTGTGATTTACAAGCTATCTGGAGAGTAAGATAAGAACACTAGATTTTTTTTTACACAGGTGGTTTTTACTCTATTATCTTTTACCCTTTCTTTATGCCTGTCCATGTGAAGACGCAAACACTCAAACACCAAAACAAAACAAAGGAATTGTAAACAGGGCCTTTCTCTGGAGACTGGAGGCTGCCAAGCATTATCCCACTAGAAACACATTGAAGTGTGAATAGGGGCTACCTCCAAACACTTTCATGACAACTTATTCTGAAGCACACCGCTACAGTCTTTTGATTCAGGTTTTAAACTCAGAAGGAAAAAAACACAATTTTAAGAATCAGATTATATTATACTTGATAATGACTTAAGAGCAAAAAGAGCCATTGAACTGAAAGTATACTCAGGAAAATATATATTTTTTTATTTTTTTAAAGATTTTATGTATTTATTTTTTAGAGGGGGAAGGGAGAGAAAGAAAGAGAGAGAGAGATATCAATATATCAATGTACGGTTGCTGGGGACCATGGCCTGCAACCTAGGCATGTGCCCTGACTTGTAATCGAACCTGCAATGCCTGGTTCGCAGCCCATGCTCAATCCACTGAGCTACGCCAGCCAGGGCAGGAAAGTATATGTAAAAAAAAAAAAAACTTATTATAAGACACTGTCCTCTGAGTATACAATTATCTAGCATTTAAGCTGTTACCCTGAAAAGATATATTTTTTGTTGGAAAAAGTATAAAATGAATGAAAAAAAAACCCCTAAAACTCAGTTATCCACCCTGATAGAAAGCCAATTAGGACAGACCAGAGGCTGAGCACCACCTAGTGGACCCTTACTCAAATTACAAGAATAGTAGTACTTCGGAGTCATTAAGTTCTCTTTGTAAACCCCAGCTACTAAATCATGGCAAGGACTGTATTTTTTCTATATCTGGACATGGATGAAATGTATTCTATGAAAGTAAGAAGTTCTCAAGTTATCTAAGCAATTCACTCAGATAGGTTGAATGTGTTAATCATATTTTTGTGTTTTTTTCTTATGATATTATAACATTTTAAAAATCTTGCTAGCTAAGGAGATTGACCCTCTCAGGGTTAACCAATTCTTAGTGACAGCAAAGGGCTGACCAGGAGCATCTCTTTCATATGCAAACCAACCAATTTCAAATCTATATCCTAAATTACCCCCTTTATGTAACTCTTACACACCAAGGCAGTATTCACCCTGCCCTAAATTGTCTCAGGGCCATGTACTAGGCAACTGGAAACCACCCCTTTAGCCTAAGACCTGCCAGAACTATTCAAACTAGCTGGCCCTAACCAGCCCTGCTCCACCTTTCCCATGGAAAGTCCAGTAAAGGCTCTTCCTTTCGCTCCTGCTTCTGCCCCTGACCAGAACCTGATGCTGCCCCTCTGGCCCTGTGTGTGAGGCACTCCCCCTTCTCTCAGGAAATGTAAGTAGGAAATGCTTTCGATGCCTTTGACCTCTCCATGTCACTACTACCCGGTCACCTCTGTAAATGTATATCCTCGGGCACAAGTGAGACTGAATCCCATCTAATTCATTTCAGCGAAGAATCACTTTCGTTCCAGCTTCTAGGACACCTTCATCCAGAAAAATGTCTCCATCAACTTTTTACAAATGTGCAGCCCAGTTGCCACTCTCATGGTTGACATCCTAGATTAATTAGCAAATACAGATGCAAAATGGAAAGGGGGAAGGACAAAAAACAAAGAGCAGAAAAGGGAGACAGTGCCCACGTGAAAGCCTCAGACTCACCTGAATCCTGAGAACAATGTCTGTCCCCTCCTCTCTCCCAGATTTCAGGGCCATGAGCTTCTTTTCTTCTGTTGCCTCCGAAAGCTGCCACTGGTGGGTTTTATAGTGAAGCTAAGAGCTTAAGCTTCAAGACCTTTCACTTGCATTGGGTTCCTCCCAGAGATTATACCTAATTTCATATTCGTAACTTTTACTAAAGATGATCCATAAAAATGGTATAAGCTTCATGCTCTATAAAAACCTGGCAGGCAAGAGAACTCATGGCTCCAGAAACCCAGATGTGAGCCCTTCTCTTCCCCCAACCATTCTCAGTCCTGGTTTCCTTATCTATAAAAGGGCGGGCTGACAAGACAGTCTGGTCTTAAGTTCCCTTTCCTCCTCAGGAGCATTCACTTCTCTGCATACTAATAAAGCAATATGCTTTTACCTTGCATGTGGCTGCTAAGGCTCGCTTTGCATGTTGACTTTTTAAGGATGCTAAAACAAGCCTGGAAAATGCATAGCAAAAACAAGTCGGTTCTTAACTGTACACTGGCTAAGGAGGATGCAGAAAATAAGAGCAAAGCTTTTGCAATGAAGCCTGACACCAGTGCTCAAATTTACATTATCACCTACAGATTGGATGCATTAAGATCAACTCAGAGATCTACAGGTTATAGAGCCAGGCCATAGGTTAATCTGGCTCTGCCACTGTTTGCATGTGTCTTTGGGCAACTCACTCAACATCTCTGGGCTTGTTTCTTGACGTGGTGAACAAGGGGATTGGGCCAGAGGAGCTCTAAGGACCCATGTCTCTAAACATGTTCATTTCTATCTGCCTCTCTTTCCCATGCTACTTGACCAGACTCTCTTACCCTCACCAAGCTAACCTAGGTAAGCCACTGAACTGAAGAGGAGAAAACTAAGAGCATCAGAGGAGGAGAAGACAGAGAAGGGACAGGGAAGACAGGACATCAGGCAATGCTAGGTACAGGGTCAAAGTGGGTCATACCCTGAAAGCCAGTCTGGACACACCTCCTCCCACACCTGGCCCAGATGCCATGGCTCTGATGGGAACCCACTCCCTGGGTCTGCACTGAACTTTTCTGTAGGGTGATTAGCTCAGACCAGTCAGGTGTCACCCCCTAGGCTTCCTAGAAAAGAGTCCTCATGGACCGACTTCAGCTGGAGCTCAAGTCTCTGGAGGAAAGCTGGGTGTAGAGGAAAGAATACAATGAGTCACTCATGCTCGCTAATCTGCAGTTTCTGGTGACTTGTTCTCATGCCTTAGCATGACACAGATTCCTTTTAAGTTTCTCTGAACACCAGCCAACTCTGAGAGAAGGAAGACAAAAGCTTCAGATTAGTTGGAGGTATTTCTTATTCCATAATAATTAAGAAATATCAGTTTTAATATCTCTAGCAGTAGCTGGAGAACCTGGCAAGAATGGGCACTCAAAAAATAAGCTGAGCCCTGGCTGGTGTGGCTTAGTTGGTTGGAGCATCATCCTGTAAAACACAAGTTCTTGGGTTCAATTCCCAATCAGAACACATGCCAAGGTTGTAGGTTTGGGCCCCGGTTGGGGGAGTCCAAGGGGCAAACAATGGATGTTTTTCTCTCCCTCTCTCTCTCCTTCCCTTTCCCTCTCTCTGAAATCAATAAGCATGTTACCAGGTGAGGAAATAAATAAATAAGCAAGCTGAGCTGAATTTCCTCACTATTCCCCACACGCAAAGCACCTGATCCTGCAGATCTCCCGCAGTACACCTGTTTGCCACTTCCCTCTGTCTCAGGTCACCTGCTCTCTGCTGCCAGCTTAATCTTCCTGGCACACCATCACGGTCCTCACAGTCCCCTCTGTCCTGTGACTGGCAGAGACAAGCATGGAGTCCAGGGTCATTAGCCTTTCATTCACTCCCCCCAGGCACCAGCTGCTCCTTAGCCTTCCAGCCCCATGTGCACCAATAGCCTACTCTACTGGGCCTCAGTGCAGTACCTGCTTCACCCAGTGACTGAACAGGCATCGTGCTGAGTGCTCACTCTGTGACAGACACTGGGCCAGGTCCTTCTGCATACAGCATAAAAACCCTGGCCGTCAGGTTCATTCAACCCATCTCACAGTTGTGAAAACAGACTGGGAGCCCTTGAGTAACTTGACCAAGGGCCCAGTACCTAGTGGCACAGTCAGAATTTGGAATCCAGGTTCCCAGGTTCAAGTTCCCCGCCAAACCAACCAAATATCAGTAAAGTACTTGAGGACAGAGGCTCCTAGAGCAAGATTCATACTTGCCACAAGTTCAGTAGGTCCTCAAACACATGCACACTCACACACACACATTCCTAAACTACTTGGGACTCATCTAGACCTAGAAAGTATCCCAGCCTCCTCAACAGACTGCCTGCCGAGCAGGTTGGCCTGGACGACGTCCCACATTCTGGTTTTGGCCACTGGAATCCCTCTGGATTTGGGACTCCTGCCGAGGTCTTCTACTTGAATTTGCTTGCTGAGTCATCCACTTATTTGCCAACTGAACCTTCTGATCACTTGTATCACTACCTCACACGTGGACCAAATACATACTCCCTACCTTAGTTTTATTATTAACCAACATTTACTGAATATTTACTGTTAAACAAGCACTAAACTAAATATTTACATGAATTATCTCTTTTAATCTTTATAATCTCTACTGTGGGTTCTATGACTGTAGCCATTTTATAGGTGAGGAAGCTTAGCAAGCCAGTAGCCCAAGGTCACAAAGCGTTAGAGTTAGTACTTGAACTCAGGCAGCACGTGTACACTCGGACATCACACCATGAGCCCTCAGACCTATGGCCTCTTCCCAGCTGGTCCACTTACTACTGATCAACACACACACTTGCACACACAGCTGGTCCTGAGAGTAGTAAAGCCAAACCAAGAATCCACTCGTTCACCTCTCCACCGACTCACAAGCATCCTCCCTGTGGCCAGATTTCCTGAGAGCTACTTTCCTGTCACAGTGACCAAGAAAAGAGCAGACCTGAGTTGCTGGGATTAGCATAACACCCACCACATCTCTTCCCACTGGGCACTGCCCTCTAATCCCATGTTCTTCAGGCCCCAAAGCTCTTAGCAGAACTCCTGACTCCTAACACTGGAGTAAAGCTAGACAGAGGTTCATAAGGCTCCTGGCTTCAGCAGCACATGCACCAAAATTGGAATGACACAGAGAAGATTGACATGGCCCCCATGCAAGGAAGACATGCATATTCATGAAGTGTTCCATATTTTTATGGAACTGGAGAGCATTATGCTAAGTGAAATAAGCCAGGTGGTAAAAGACAAATACCATATGACCTCACCTATAAGAGGAACCCAATGAACAAAACAAACAAATGAGCAAAATAGAACCAGAGACTTGGAAATAAAGAACAAGCTGGCAGTGACCAGAGGGGGAGGGGGGATAATGGGGGAAAGAAGGGGAAAAGTCTAGTCAAGGAACATGTATAAAGGACCCATGGTCATGGACTATAGGGTGGGAATTGACTTGGGGGGTGTGGGCGGGGCAGGGGAGAGCAAGGAGGAAAAAATTGGGACAACTGTAACTGAACTACAAAAACACATACATACATGCATAAATAAATAAGTAAATAAATAAATAGTTCTGAGTTTGATGAAAAGTTCACAGCCATTTGCATGTGAAAGTGGGAGGCAGTGTTCAAAGTTCTTTCTGGCTACATGGCTGGTTGGCAATATTACATAATATAGCATATATATAATGTACCTCCTCAAGATTCCCAAATCTTTTTCCAACATTGTACTTAAAAATTTTTTTAAACATATTCAAGAGGAAAAAAAGTTTCATGTGGAAGTTCTGGAGGGCCAGGCACTCCCCGAGTTCAGCTGCAAACATGTCAGCCGCCCACCCTGCTCTCCGGTCCCCACACAGACCTCGGGCTTGCCAGCTGGGAGGCTTTGTTCACACTGGCAAGGCAGGCAACATACAGCAGAAAGGATTAAAACTTAGACCTGGGTTCCGAGTGCCTCGGATTTTCATCTGTCCCACCAAAGTAGTCCTGTCCTGTCTACTTCAGAATATTGTTGTGAAGGTGAAATGAGGGAACGCATATTAAACATTCAGTACATAATTGCCCACCCATTGGTAGTTATTAACGTTTTCTTACCCTCTCAGCCTGGGACGTGCTCCCCAACTTCACCATTTGTTCTATGTCCACCAATACTGTAAATGGCGCTGCCCCAGTCCCTAGCCAGGCAAGTCCAGTTACGTAGAATCGACACTGACTGAGCATCTTCTATATGCTCAGCACTTGGGGCCCGTAGTGAGGGCACAAAAATGAATAAGACATGACCCTGAACTTACAGAGCTCACAACCTTAAGGGAGATAGCAGAGAAACAGCTCGTTTCAGTGCCACACGGTAAGTGTACTGGTAGAGCCTGCTGAGGGAGCAGGGGTGGTCCGCGAGACCTAAGGGCTTTGGGCACCAAGAGAAGGAGTTGGAAATGAGTTGTGAAGGCAGTGTGAAACCATGGGAAGGCGTCAAGCAAAGGAGTCAAATGCTCAAACTTATACTTTAAAGAAAGATCACTTTAACCCTGGCTGGTGTAGCTCAGTGGATTGAGCGCGGGCTGCAAACCAAAGGGTCACTGGTTCAATTCCCAGTCAGGGCATGTACCTGGGTTACAGGCCAGGCTTGTGAGAAACAACCACACATTGATATTTCTCTCCCTCTCTTTCTTCTTCCCTTCCCCTCTCTAAAAATAAATAAAACCTTAAAATAAATTTTAAAAAAGATCACTTTAGTAGCAATGTGGAGAAAGGACAGCAATAGGGAGAAAGAACTGCAATGTGAAGAAAGAAGTTAGGAGGGTATGAATAATCCAGGCAAGAGACGGTACTTTGGACAAAGTACAGAGGAGATGGAGAAAAAGGGATGGATTTCAAATGTGTCTAGATTGCGAACACCAAAGGCCTTGACATTGAACGTTGTTCAATCCCTCAATGTTTAGAGACTGAAGGGGAGGGAGAGGAAGAAGGAGGCAACACTGAGGCATTTGCATCTGCCACATTTTAAAATCAAGTCTCTTAGGGCACTTATCACAATTTAACTTGCATTGTGGTTATCTGTTACTTGTTCAT